CCATCAAAAATTGTTATACAAAATTGTTGAATTTCTTTTCTTTTTTTGCAAATATTTCCATGCATATTGTCTTGCAAAATGTTTGGCAATTATTAAATTGACAAAACCCTCTTCAATTGTTTGCCGGAGCGCCCGCAAATCAGTTTTTGTGAGTCAAATCAAATGTCAACTACATGACAGCCGACACTGGAGCCACGCCCACAAAACAAGAACAGCCACAGCCTGCCTGGTTGTTCCTTTTAAAATGATGCCTCCCGAGTGTGTGTGTGTGCGTGTGTGTTGGTGTGTGTGCTTCTTAATGATTATTTGACGCCATATTTGATTGACGTGTGTTGGGCGCTCGTTATATATGAATGTGTGTGTACGTGTGTGTGCGTGTGTGTGTCTCAGCCCGCACTTCCTTATGTCTCTTATTGTATACACTTGATTGTGTGCGTGTGTGCATGTGCGTGTTAATGGCCGCAACAACCACAAGGCACTTATCAATTTTTCGTCTCAGCCAAATGACTCTCGTGGGCGTGTGTGCTTTTATACAACTGACACTGAACGAGTTTTATCAAGAGCTCGTGATAAGTGTGAATACCGCTAAATTGATTTGATTCCTTTCGTGTACATATGTATATATACATAAATATACATAAATATATATATATATTTGCTTAGTTTGCGTTTAGTTTTAGATGACGCCATTATATTTAATATGCCTTAAATGTGTGTTTGAGCCAAAGAAATTAAGTTATTTTCGCTTTGAAGAAAATTCTATAATTTGGTTAATTGTGGAAACAAACAGCAGGCGCTGTCTGTGATTTTAAAATGGTATTATTATCCTATATATATCCACTTGAGACTCAACATGTGTTTCTGATAAGTCTAAAGCACGTCAACTAATTATTCAGTCAGTCCGGAAAACAATTTAATAAATTATACGAAGAAGAACCTCTAGAAGCATTGAAATTGACTAAAAAAAATCAAAAATAACAAATTTAATCAGCAACTATTAAATTTGACCTGAGTTTGAACCGGCGTTCTATTGCTTGTTAGTTCGACACTTAAATTTAGTTTGATATTTTGACGTATTTTACCTACAATAATTAATTCTAGTTTACACTCTCACAAATTGTTAATTGAATTGCATTAATATTAATTTAGCTATCATTAATTTATAAACAGATTTCTGGCTTTAATCGATTGCCTAGCAAATCCTCTGGAGCAGTGTTGAACAACAGTTGATTTTAGCTAGGTTCAAGTGAGGGTCAGAGAGAAAGGGGGGAGAGCTGCAATGCCTACAGCAATTTGTTTGCTTTCAACGCAGGCCCAACGCACTGTGGGCGTGGCTGTGCGTGGCTAAGTGCGTGTGTGGATGTGTGTGTGTGTGTGTGCGTGTGTGGATAAACTATGTAGAGTCCTTGAAAAAGATGTAAGCCATAGAAGCGGAATGCCAGCGGCTAAAAAAGTTAACAGTTGACATAGTTTAGAGAGCTGCCTAGCCAGACGCAGTTCCCACGCTGGCAGGACTATGGCAAGGGCTGGGGCTGGGGCTGGGGCAGCGTGGGTCAACGGGTTCAACAGCCAAACGCAACGGCCCCTTGAATGTGGCATGAATGAATGTCTTCATAGCGTGCCCCTGCCACATTGTTGCTGTTGCTGCTAGTTCGTAGCAGGAACATTGGTGCCAAACTAAATGAATTTAATTGCCGCTGGATATGAAAGTAATTATTTTGCAGTACATAGAGGCACAGGCGACAGGCAAGTGGGCGGCGGGGGGTTCGCTTATCTCACACGCGCACTTTCTCTAGCTGACTTTCTCTTTCTCTCTCTCTCTCTCTCTCTCTCCCTCTCTCTCTCTCTCTCTCGCTTGCCGTTTGCTGATGTGTGCTGCTATCCATGCACTTGCACTTAACAGCAAACGGGCGTAGGCTGGCAAATCGGCACACATACGCCCCCGTGGCACACACCACACACACACACACACACACACACACACACACTCACTCGCACACCCGCACACGCTTACTTTCGCTGCTGTTGGTGAAAAATTGCCCCGCAGATATTTTGAGTTGTTCTTTAATTTATTCTCTTTTCACTCGGCTAGCAGCGCGTTGTCCTTGCTGTTGTTCCAATGTGCCGCCAACGGCAGGCCCAGCTAAAGCCAACGACATGTGTGTGTGTGTGTGTGTGAGTGTGCGTGTGTGCAGGGGAATATGCGTGTGTGTGTGTGTGGAAGTGACAGTGTTGTGTCACTTGTTTACACGCCTGGCCTTGTTTTGTTGCCTAGACCAAGCCTTTATATACCCTGCAAGCTTTGGTAATGGTTAAAGATGGATATAAAGAACTAACAGGTAGAAGAGAGCCTCTTTGATATACAAAATATATATATATTCTTGATCGGGTGGACATAATGAGGACTTCACCCAAGCCTATGTCTGTGCAGTCTATCTTCCACTCGTATGGCATACATTGCTTCCAGGCAAGCTCTGTGTAAGCTAAGCTAAGCTGAGTGCAGGGTATCTGCTCGTCGGGCAAGCTAATCTTGCTTGTTTCCTCTGCATTGTTAGTTCACAAACCTTGTAACACTTTCGATCGCACTTTACTGAGGAACAATGCGAAATTAGCATTCGATTTTAGTCCAATTACAATTGGAATATTCCTACGAATATCTGAGAAAAAGTTAAGATAAAACTTTCGATTCAACAAGTTTTTCACTTTAGATTTCCCGTTGAAGGAAGACGGAATATTTTTGTATATTTTATTTATTTTTATTACTTTTCGCTCTTGACACTAAACTACTTTACGCAAACTATTCGCAGTTGGGATCTGTTTCGGGATCGCACTCGCAATTGGGATCCGTTTCCGGATTGCACCTTGGTGGTGGCGGTGGTGGTGGTAGTGGTGGTCGTGGTGGTGGTGGTGGTGGTGGCAAGTACCAGCCGGGATAATAGCCCCATGGGTAACCACTGTAAAATGGTGGATAAAGTGGATAACTGGGATGCGGATGCGGACGCGGACCAGGATAGGGATGGGGATGAGGATGGGGTTGAGGATTCGGGTTCGGATTTGGATTCGGATTGGGATTCGGATTGGGATTCGGATTGGGGTTCGGATTGGGGTTCGGATTGGGATTCGGATTGGGATTCGGATGCGGATGTTGGTGACCACCATTGTTGCCGTCATCATTTTTGTTGCCCTTGATGACCACAATGCAGTTGACAATGGGACGATCCTTATTTCCGCTGCCATTCCCATTCCCATTCCCATTGCCATTCCCGTTGCCATTCCCATTGCCATTTCCATTTCCATGTCCACCTCCATTTCCGCCGCCATGTCCTCCTCCCTGACCACCACCATGTCCTCCACCATTTCCTCCTCCATGTCCTCCTCCATGTCCACCACCATGTCCTCCACCATGACCATGGTCATCATCATCATCATCACCATCACCATTATTATTGTTATTATTGCCACTATTGTCGAAGCTCCAGCTGATATGTCGCGGCGTATAATATTCGCTATCGCTGGGCGAGACCACGCACAACGGATAACCCTTGGTGGTTGTGCTCGGCTTGTCGTTTGTCTCAAAGAAGAACGAGGGTATGTAGCTGCTGGCCAGGCCGCTCAGCGAAGTGCTGGCCAGGCCGCTCAGCGGGCTGCGCAACAGACGCGACTCCGACAGCTGCGGCTTGCCCCGGGTCAGCTTGAGCAGCTCGTTGTACTCCTCGCGCGTCACCTGGTGTATGCGCAGCAGCTGCGTACGGGCTGTAAGTTATTCAAGATGTTGGATGAATGGAATGGGACAGCTGGCCAGGATCGTTGAGCTACTCACCCGCATTGGCGGCGACGGCGCAGAGCGTGATCAGCGCCACGAACTGTAACAACCTCATTTTTGGCGTGTTGAGCGATCGTCGATCGCGGCGTTTGAATAAACAGCGACGACTCCGTCAACATATTTATAAAGATTTGCTGTCTGCGGCTGACATTATCATTTGAATTGACCAACGGCCACGCCCTAAACGATAATACGCTTTAATGGCACTCTTTGTGCATAATTTACCCGCTGACCCAGTTCTGCAAAAGAATTTGATTTAACTGGACAACACCAAGCCCTTAATTGGGTATGCGATTTGGTCAAAGCATGCGAAAGATTAAGTTTAATGATTGTTGCCTTTTAAACGTTAACTGTTTATTTATGGTCTAGTTAGCCGTCGGCAGCTGGCAGAGAAATGTGCTCCAATTTGCGGACCTATCGAGATGTTTTTTGGCGTAGCAAAAAATAGATTTCAAGAGACAAAACGAATTGACATAGTTTTAAGTGAAGCTAGGTTTAGGTTTACTCAACAGACTGAAAGAAAAGAAAATGGGAAAAGTCCTCGGCGGTTGAGTTTTCTGAGTGAGCCAGTTTTTGGCAACTGAATAACGAAAATCGGAGTGCGAAATCCAAACTATGTTTAAATATTTCAAGAATGTTCCAAGTTGAAAAAATATATAGTGTATATATAGTCTAGTTATACTCAGACCTTGCGTCTAAGCTAGCGCTCGTCTGAAAGCTGTCTAAGTGAGCCTTAAATTGAGAAAACTTAAAAACGAGGATCAAACTCCCGCTTAGTGTATGTGTATGTGTGTGTGTGGTATTATCTTCTACCAAGTATGGTTTCATAGTTCCCAATTCTATGATATGATATGATATGATATGATAGTTCCCAGTTCTCGATAGAAATAATAGCTAAGTAACCCACTCACTTGGGAAAATTAAAAAAAAAAATGCGGGCTCAAGCCTTAAACCTTCCAAATTCAGTTAAATTAGAAAATATTATATATATTATTGTAAGTTCCTGCCTTAGGCAGAGAAGTTCTTCATATGTTGCTCAACTAAAAAGCAATCGTCAGACTTATTACTTAACCTTTAAAATCGTCAGCTCTTTAAGCTTTTACTTAAGTTTTTCTTTTAAATCAAAATACGCTTTTTGTATTTTTTGTTTATTTATATTTAATGCAAAGTTTCTATTTTATTCATAAAACTCATGATCATAGGCTGATTCCAACACAAATTCGCCCTCCGCACTTTGACCAAACTCTTCATCTTCGTCGTCGTCGTCGTTGTCATCATCGTGTTTGTCTTCCTTCTCCGCTTGCTCATAGTATGGATAGGGACTATAGGGCGGCACCTGTCCATAGAACTGCGAGGGATAGTAGGGCTGTGGGCCGAAAGGTAGCTGTTGGCCAAAAGGCGGCTGTTGGCCAAAAGGCGGCTGTTGGCCAAAAGGCGGCGCATATGGATTGTATTGACTGTAGGGGCTCTGGTTGTAGCCGCCATAGGGATAAGGGCCGCCAAAGGGGCTGCCATAGCCGCCACCATAAGGTGCTGGCGGTGGGGGTGGCGGCGGAGGCGGGCCATAAGGCGAGCCATATTGACGCGCAGCCGAGTCGAGCGAGGTGCGGGTTCTGTGCAGCTTGGACTTGGACTGCGACTTGGACTTGTTGCGCTTCTTGGCCAAGTTGGGCGCAACTGTGCTTGTTGCGGCCAGGCGTTGCTCGTGCTCGTCCTCGGGCGCAGCCACCTGCTCGGCAACTATCTCGGCGGTCTGGGGTTCTATTTGTAGCTCATTTCCCGGAGCAACATTATCATTCTCATGGTACCAGTAGGGCGCAAAGTCGGGATTGCTGGAGCTGAGCGCCTCCAAAGCGGGATCCCGCTTGAGCACGACAATGCAATTGATAACCGAATCGTCGTCACCGAATTGTCGGGCCACAGCAGAACGCGGCTCGCTTTCAACAGCTTTGGCTGCATCGGCAAGACTGCGCTGCATGACGCACAACGGTTGGCCATCGATATCGATCTTGGTCTCCGCCGCGTAGCTGGTCGTGGTCAGGCCCATGATGCGCAGCAGCGAATGCCAGCCGGAGTCGAGGGTGTTGCGCACCGAGGTGAAGCCGGCGCTGGTCAGACGCGCCTCCGAGATGACATTCTTGCCATCGGTGAGCTTTAGCAGGCGCTCATACTGCTCCTCATTGATGGGATAGACGCGCACCAGCTGCTCCGCCTTGGTTGCCTTCTGCTCCTTGGCTGGTGCTGCAAATGGAACTTGATTGTCAGTCGAAATCGAGCTCAACAATCGTGTGGCTCTTTAGCTACGCACCCGCCTCAAGGCAGCCGAGGCTGCTCAGCAGCAATAAAAGGCCGCAGAAACTGAGCCAAGTTGAATGCATTTTGTGTGTCAAATCAAACAAATACTAAGTTCCCAATGCCCGACGACAGTCTTATTTATACATTCACCTTCAAGCGGCGAACATTTGCCAAATATTGCAATTAGTTAGTCTTCTATGGGCAGAGATAGCTCAAAGCGACATTCTCGAGAAATCCATGTCAATAAATTAGTCCAATTGGCACACATTCGGGCGAGTCAACGAACGCATTTCAGCCCAAACTGGTTCTTGAACTATATCCATATATATATACATATATTTATATATATGTATTTATATGTAACTAGAAGCAGAACTGGGCGTGCCCTAAGCTCGTTCCAATCATAATTAGCATACGGCATTAGTCAGCGCTATTAGCTATTTGCATAGCTATAAAGATTTCAAATATGTCTTAAAAATAGTTGCTCAAGCTGTTTTGGCATCATGTGAGAAAATCTAGATAACTGTATTCCTTAATTTATGCGCATCTGGAAGATATTTTAGAAAAGATATCTGTTCTTCTCTAGAAACTAACTGGAAAGTCAAAGCTTTCTAGCATTAAATAGAACTCTCAATTTTGCAGCTAAGTTCATTTAATTAGTTGTGAATTCATTAAATCTTACAAATTGATTGATTTCAGCTGAAGTTTTGCTCAAAAAAGGGAATTTTAAAGCGAATCGAATGAAAATCAAGTCCAGTGCAAATAATTTTCATCAATTACCTAGGAATTTCTTAGCTCTTCGAATCTTACGACTTGAGCTGTGCGCACAGCATCAATCAGTCAATCAGTCAATCAGTCAGTCAGTCAGTCAACAATTTATATATAATTTTAGATACTTTCCTTCGTTTATATATTGCCCATAATCATAATCATTATTGCAGGGTATTTGCCTATTCGCCCCGACACAAACAGCTTAGCTTCCCTTTTTGAAATTTTCTTTCGTTCTTTTTACCTCCAAAAACTCAACAAATTTGTTGTTTCTGATCCGATTAAGACGAGTTTCCATATTTATGTTGCCTTTGAAATGTGCCTAAATAACAAATCAAATGATTTGCATAAATAATTCGTTTACATTTTTTGGAAATAAAAGACATGTTTTATTAATTTTTCTAACTCATAATTAATTTTACTCTTATTTCGTTTAAATCTCTTGCTGTGTGTGTGTGTAGGTGTGTGTGAGTGTCTATTTATATTTATATATATATATACGAGTACCTAGGCATAAATACTTAGTTATAATGCGTTCACAAACACAAACACAAGGTTTATTTGTATGTGTTGCTGACTTTTAATGAACTCTAGAGTGTTTGCTCTTATAGTTAACACACATCAAGTGACAAATTTGTTGTGCCGCCGTGTGTGTGTGGGTGTGTGTGTGTGTGTGCATCGGCTATGCACCTTTATGCGGTTTTATATATATATATATATATTTATATATATTTTATATAAATATTAGTTATCGTCTTTTCGATTAATGCAAATTAAGTTTATTTACAAGTTGTTTGACAATACTTAAACTAATTACACACACATGCACACACGCACACACACACACACACCTCAGTTTTTCGACGCCTTTTTATTTATTTATTAAATTTAACTAATCTTCTGTATTTTGTTAATGCAGCTGCATTTGTATTTTGTTAGTCAAAAGGTGTTTATCAATAATTGTTATTGTTGTTATTTTCTTTTTCTTTTGTTTATTATATATTTACCATATATATCTGTTGCTCGTATGTGTGTTGTGTGTGTGTGTGTGTGTGTGTTGCCAATTGTGCCACAGTTTTCAACATTTAAATTGTATTTTGTATTTAGCTTTTTTTTTCTTTCTTTCATTTTTTGTGTACATATACATATTTTAATTTAAGAGTTAATTAAAACTACACTCGCTGCTAATGAATTTATTTACAGTGCTCGCTTTTCCGGACATTTCCATTCGATTTCCGTTAAGCACATTATTAATTTGCATTTCCATATGCTCTTATGTCGCACAAAACTAATTAGTTACCACACAAACATATACATATAAATACATATATATATATATATCTGTGTTAATGCATAATGTATATATCCTTTTTGTTTTTGGCTTAACTATCAAACCCCATTGGCTTCAACAAGCCGTTTACCCTTACTTTTTTTGCTGCTTCCCCTTTTAGTTCAACTCTTGCCCAACAATGCATCGTGCAGCTTTTTAATTGCCACATATAGTGTTTTTTTCTTGTTTTGGTATTTATTATTATTTTTGTTAGCTTGAACTGCGCTTTTCCATAATATCTTTACAATACCCTTGCAGAGTTAATTATAATTTAGTCATCAAAACACAAGTAGAAAAAGTTGTCTAGACTTGTTTAAGCTATGCGAGAGCTTGCAAAACAAAATGTAAAAGTATATTGTTATCGATTTTTATCGATTTCAAAGAAACGGAGCCAGTTATCGATAATTTGATCTGCGCTGGCAATCGAAGAAGCGACTATTGACATATCAAATCTTTACCTCTTGTAGGACCCGAGATGCATAGATAAGGACGAAGGAGGATAAGATCGGAGGGACTTACGGACTTACAGACGGACGGACGAACGAAACGACGGACGGACATGACTTAGTCGACTTGGCTCTCGATGTTGAGCAAAACTATGTATACTCTATGCTGTAGATGCCTTCCACACATTTTCACATAACTAATATACCCCTTGCACCCATTTAAATAGGTTGTAGGGTATACAAATACGTGATTAGCGCTAGAAAGTTGGCTTCCATCATGGGAACGATCGGAAAGTAATACAAAATACGATTATTTGTTATAGACACATCATTTGCATACTTTCGCCTCACCTGGCACAAATTAATGTCTGCAAGGGTATTTAATATTCGGCACAACCGAAATCCTCTACTTTCTTTTGCTTCCTTTTTTTAAAAAGAAAGACCACTAGCCGTGATTGAAAAGTGCGCATCAAATGAAAGTCGAATCGCGACACACCCCAAAAAACTAACTCTGAATATATATGTACATATATCCAGCTATATATCTTTATGTAAATTGTAATAGAGCCTTAAACATTAAAATGGCGTTTATTTACAGCAAATATTATGTTTGTGTTTAATGCTTATTAATTACAATAGAGTACACAATGGCTGTAAACAAATTGAATGTAATACAGTTAGCTACAGAAGTATGCAGACGCTCGATGGGGCTAGAAAACGGGTGAGAAATGCAGAGAGAGATGTGAGAGAGCGAGAGAGTATTGCAAAATAATGATTGATTGACTGATTGACTGAACAATTGGATTGAATTGAATTGAAGCATATTTATAGCCTAGTAAGTCTTATTTCATAATGACAATGTTTTTTTTTCTTTATTATTTTGAACGATTTGCTATTGGCTTGTGAATGTGTGTGAGGGAGACAAATGCACGCAGCTGCACACAAGAGCTATGTTTGGTTTATTGCTTGAACCATTTGGGAATTACAGTGAAAAATAATTCTTTTAAGCTGTCCGCACGCTTTTGTGCGCAACTGTGCATTTGCCCAACTACATTTTGCTTAAATAATAGTTAAGTTTTATATATGTATAGTTTATATGTGTATATATGCACTGTTATTTGGCTTTGTATATATATAATTTTGTTTGCTTTTTATTTACCTTGTTGATTTCGTGTTTGTTCTGCTTGGCTTAACTTACGCAAAATCGCTTAGAGCTAAAGATGTTTGTTGTTTATTCACTAAGTGCATTTACCTAACGATACGAATGCCCATCAATTTAACTAAAATCGCATCATTAACTCAATTAACATCCATGTCCATGATCACCAGCACCTCGAGCGCTCGCCGAGTAGAAGCCAGCTCCATTCCTTCAACTCACACACTGCACCAGGGTCAGCCCACTTTGAGGGCGGCTGCTGCTGCTGTTGCGGGGGCGGGCTGTCGATTTTGTTGCAACTGCTTCACTTGACAATTGCCTTGGTGGCAGCAACAATAGTGCGGCCATTGTCTCAGCCGGCGCCGCACTCACATACCAATGCTGCAGGCAGCAGGACACGATGCTGAGCAGCATGCAACAAATGCCGCAATAGAAACTGTTGCTGTTGCTGCTCGAATTGTGCTGCATGGCCGCCGGGTGTTCGCCTGCGAAAAGAAAACACATAAACACAAAAAAAAATACAAAAGCATAGAAAATGGTTAAAAAACTTGCACAAAGGATAAAGTCTTGTTGGCGCTCATCTCAGTTCATTAGCTAATTGTTAAAGCAGCTGAAGGTGAGCTGCACAAAGCAAGTCAAGCGCATGCGTAAACGGATGCAATTTAGCTCAACTCTGGCAGCTGCTGCTGTTGTTGTTTCCGATTGCCTTTGTGTAAGGGCAGGTTCAATCGCCCGTGGCTAAATCTCGACTCTTCACATCAGCATCAACAACAAGCTGCGCTGTTATCTGGGCCCAGATAATATCGACGCTTCAGCTTTACAGTTGCTCCACTTTGCATGTGCGCATTTCCTGTTTGCCAAACAAGCAGCCCCAACAATGAGCCAAACACTAAAGCAACTACAGCAACAACAACACACAAACAACAGCAACACACAAACAACAACTTGTTATATGCACACTTGAGCACACAAGCTGCAGCTGAAGTTTGTTGCGGCTGCCTTTCACTGGGAGCCGGACCTGATTATTGGCGTTTCAGCCAGCAAGAAATCATTTCCGCACTCCTTTCAGGCTTGCAGTTAAGGCAAAAAGTATGACAAGCAGGACTGCAGACTCCGACTAGGAGATACCCTGTACTTAAGACGTGACAAGCATTCGAACTTTCTTATGGATCGCACTTTTAGCTATGGCTGTACTTCTCCTTGAGTTAGCTCCACATTATGCTTACTGCATGCCTGAATAACTTCGGTCTTTGTAGTCCGATTTTTATGGTAATTTAAGGTCTTAATTATGGCATAAAAAACTGTGTGCAATGCTCTATCTCTTAGGCAGAATTTCTTCCAGATTTTGGGAGAAATGTTGGAAGGTATTCAAAAAGTAAAATATTGCTATTCTGGTTCCTGTTCATATACTTTAATCTGGTCACAATTTTATAGAACGTATTCCTTTATTTCTATTGCTATTCTTTTTCCTTTTCCTATACTTTAATCTGGGTATACTTTTATAGAAGTAGTTACCAAGTCTGACATATTTAGCTCTTATTATCTTCGAGTTATGTCTCAGAATCGACGATAAACATGTTCTGCTTATCGTAGATATTTAGATATGTTTATATCATTATATTATATCCGATGTTATATTAGATATTTTATCCAACTTACTACAAGAATAATTGAACTTCCAACCTGGGCGACTTTAAAGGCATTTCCTGCGTAATGAGAAGCGGACAGACCTTCCAGCAAAAACGAATGTGCATGCGTTCTTTTACACAGCACATAAAAACACAAATACAAATACAAACAAAAGTGTGCCTGCCGCTGGCCACGCCCACACACACACACACACGCACACATGCATAGAGTGCACTTGGCATTCAGTGCAGTTGAAATGCTGAAATTGCAATGCGCGCTGCTAACAGGCAACTTCCTGTCATAAACATGCAAAGCTGTCAGGCACAGGCGCAGCACACACACCAATACAGACACACACACACAAATACACACGCACACATACTCACCAATAATTACGTGCACATAGACGCTGGAGGTTTTTGCCACGGTGGGCACACAGGTGTAGTTGCCGGTGTCGCCGGGCATCGCGCGCTTGATTTTTAGTCTGAGGGAGATTGAGAGAGAGAGAGGGAGAGAGAGAGAGAGAGAGAGAGCAAAGCGGGTTAGTTGAAAGTGAATGGCAATTCCTGCAAATGAATAACACGCGCAGCAATAGATGGTGGAGGGAAGGGGGGGCGGGGCAGTTAAAAGGGGGCGTGAGTCGCATTCTAACATCAAATGAAAGCCGAGCGTTATGTTGCAGCTACATTAAAAACTTTGCTACTTTATGCTAAAAGTCACAGTTGTGCTCAGGCTTGGACTGGGGCCTTGGGCTGGGACCTAAGCTATCCGCTCAGATAGCGGCAACTGCATTTTATGGCTGCCCGTGCCGTTAGTTAACGGCATAAATGCACAATGAGCACATGTAGCAGCCGGCAGCTAAACCAACTACTGTAACTCTGACTGCAACTACAGCTGCAACTGCAACTGCAGCTGGCAAATAGTGAAGCGAATTAAAAGTCACACACGGCTAACTGCGAACAATTGTGAATTGTGCCCCGCTCTCATTTTTACGGACTATCAAATACCCTGTTTTTGACTCGGCTCAGGCCCATCCATTAACTAATTGCTTCTTTTAAACTTCGCAGCTTTCTTTGTACTTTTTTGAAGTTTCGGTTCGTTGACTTGCAACTAAACGTTGACAAAAAAAAAACAAATCAAAATCTGCAGTTCGTGAAGTTGATTTAAGTAAAACGCCAAAGCACAGCATAAAAATAAATTATTCAAAATAAAGCTCTTTAATTAAGTCAATAAATCAACAACTGGTCTAAAAAGTTTGTCATTTATACATATGAAATCGCTTGCAGTGGGAGAGGGATTCAAAAACTCAAGGGTTCAAATAGCCTAAAGGGCGAACAAGGCTTTAAACTAAACACAAAATAAATATAAATTTTTTTAAATTTGTGTAATTATTCGATATTTGTTCCTTTCAACGAATTTCTGTTTGCCAGCCTTGCTATAAGTACCCGAGTACCTAAGCATCTCCCATGCCTGCCTTCCCCTCTCTGCACAGCTGCTCTACTGCGAGCTGTGCTTTACATTCGCAGCCCTTCTTCAACTTAATTAAGTGTGAGGCATTTGAATGCAAATAACTGAAATAGATGTTTGCTTGGGTATTATGCAGAGAGGAGCCGAAAGAGAGAGGGAGAGGGGGGGAGAGTGGGACTTAAATCGCACATACCTGGAAGTCAGGCCATCCGACCAATCATCCTCGACGAGTATGCGTGCCATGGAGCTGTCGATTTCGTTCTCGTTCTTGCCATCGAGCATTTCGCTGCCTGCAAAGTGGAGAAGTGAAAAATAAGGCACATGGAATGTGTGAATGTCAGTTGCAAATTGAATTGTTTAAATTGCGAAGATGCCTGACAAATACAGATATACACAGAATAATATAAAGCATACGCACCTTTGTACCAGAATATGTTGCCCAACTCGTGCGGTCCCTGCATTATTTTGCAGGTTAAATTAATGTCGCTGCCCGTTTTCACCATCAGATCGCTGGGTCCGTAGATTTCCGCTTTGAGCTCTGCTTAACAATGCCAAAGAGCGTGAAGTGTGTGCGGCAAGGAAAAAACACAGAGACAAGAGAGAAAAACGAGAGGAAAAAGCAGAACAATAAGTCACTTAAGTTGCCAGCAGAGAGAAGCAGCACAGACAAAGCGCTGTTTGTGCAATGATAATAATAATAATAATAATAATGTTAATGATAATGCCCCAACTGACTGACTGCCTGCCCACCCCCCGTTCGCCCGCCCCCCTCCTGCTACTTTATTACACAGACGCGTGTCTCTATTATGCTGGCGATAAGCTTTTGTTATGCCTTATAAAAGCCAGCCACACACACACACACAGTCGCAGCTCATAGATACACACAATGCGCACTCATACGCCCCGTTGTACCTGCACTTCGAGTTTTTTTCTATTTGAGCCTTGTCTCTTTGGAATTGTCTCTAGCTAAAGATTTTCGAAATCAAAGTGTCAACTCTGAAGTGCCTTTTGTTGTTACAGCACACAACTGTCGAAGATTTCAATTGAGAGCGCTGGAAAATGGAAAATGAAAAATGCGAAATGCGAAATGAATAATGGAAAAATTGCTGCGGACAGCGAGCCAAATGCGATTTTTCGGCTTATGACTGGCGTCTTAGTTGTGACTGCCGACAGCTGATGTAATGGAATATGTTCCGACTTGAAGGCAACTTAGTTTTTCTCTTATTTTCTTACTCAGTTCTTATTTTTGCTGCCTCATTGCCGCTAATGCAAACGCTTAACGTTGCATGCGCTGGCAGAAGTGGCTCACATGCCTCGGCCTGGCCGCCGCGTCACGGGAACAACAGCAGCGGCAACTACACGTGTTTGTATGCTCCACTTTTCACAGCTGCAACAGCAGCAACACGCTATACACAACCAACACACACACACACACGCGCCATTTTACAAGTTGGTTTTTGCGCCCCTAAAGAACCGCAAAGCCCGGCGTGAATAAATTGCTGCCAACGACTGAAACTGCAACTGTAACGGAGCTCTGCGTACATCTGATACTTTTCACTCCCCTTCTTTCTGTGTTTCTCTTCTTTTTTTTTCCACATGCTTGCCCCATTGATGTGGCGCCTCTGCCTCCCGCTCCCATACCGCTTTCGCGCTGCGCTTTGCTGCTATTCAATCGTGCGGCAACGAAAAACCATTTGGCAAAAGTGTAACGCAAAAAGTGTTGCATACTTTTGGGCCGTTGATTTGCATGGGCTTAATATGCGCTATGTGTGTGTGCGGCTGGGTGTGTGTGCAGCTGTGTGTGTTTGCTGGTGTGTGCGTATTCATAAATTGCCCAGCGAGGGCTGCCATAAACCTTATGCTTGTTCTTTCTTTATCCTGAATGGTGATCAACGCACAGTCCAAAGCGCAAGAGCTGAAAAGCTGAAATTCTTACAGAAGTCTCCTATTGGGTCGAAAAGGGGCTTAGGGGAGATACGTAGTGGGAAAGCCTTGGCCAAACTTTGCAAACGTGACATCATCAGCCTGTGCAGCTTAGGTGTCTGAGTGTCGGTCAGACAAGCGAAATGTCGCTGGTTCAAACGCGGCAGGATTCGTCAATTATTACATTTGTCTAAGCGTCGGATAAGCCAGCGAGAAGTCTCTCTCTAAACGTCGAACAAACAAGCGACGCAACAATTGGCAAGCTTCGGCAAGCGAGGAGTCGCCGGTTCAAATGCAGCAGGAATTGTCAATTATAACATATGTCTGAGCGTCAGACAAGCAAGCGAAAAGGCGCTGTTTCAACTGAGAGTTTTTATAAATGCCTGACCGTCGGACAAGCAAGCGAGAAGTCGCTGGTTCAAATGCTGCAGCAATTGACAGATTTCATATTCGTCAGACAAGCAAGCGAGAAGTCGGTGGATCAAATATAGCAGGAATTGTAAATTTAAAATATTTCTCTGAGCTTCGAACAGACAAGCTAGATGTCGCTGGTTCAAATGAGGTAGAAAAAGGTGCTATTTTCATATTTGTTTCTTTCTTTTTATTCTTCACAAAGAAATATGTTATATGATGGCAATTTGAGGTGCTTTGTATCTGTCTGCAGTTCGTGCTAATTACACAAATAATTTCGGTCGGGAAATTTCCGCTTCTATCTGATATTTGATAGGAAACTTTTTAACGTACTTTGCCGAACAAACTCATTTAGAAAACTTGGCGCTGATTTTATGACTTCTTATATGTGCTTATATCTGCTTGTACCTGATAAAACCATAAAAACTGAAGCTAAACAATTGGCTTAAGCAAAGTAAAAGCACACACGCTGTCGATTTTTCTCATTTCTTTTCTACTCTTGCTTTTACTTAGCTCGTAATGCGCTTTGATGTGGGAAACACACCAAAATTTAAAAAAAAAAAAGGAAGGAAAACGCGTTCAGGCTTAAAGCTGTAATAAGGAAAGCGGAAGCAGGGGTTGAGCTAGATGTGTGTATGTGTGTGTGTGTGTGTGAGAGAGCTGTGCGAAATGTTAATCTAAATTAAATGCCAAGCTCCATAATAATAGAGTGGCGCTTGGCTGAAAGTGGGAAAACGAACCCCAAATGGAATTCGAACATGCCAGGCGATTATCTGGCTGCTTTATGGACCCGCACACGTTGCGACGAGTTCTTGTTTGTTGTTCCCAGTTGTTGTTGTTGTTGTTGTTTTACCTGGCAAAACAATTGTGGCAGGCAAAGCCAAGTGTCTATGACTTTTGGCGCTGACTTGGCTACAACCGTGCGCCCAAAGCGCGCAAACAAAGCAGCTAGCCAAAAATTATTGCCACACATGCAGCTGACAACGTGGCACAGAAACCACGACCCCAACCACCTGGCACACCCCGCCCCAACTAGTAGGTGTTAGCAGGTGTGTGTGTGTGTGTGCCCGCATGTGGCTGTGCCACGTTTTGCTGCCATTTTAGCCGAGTTTGCTTTTCTTTTCGCCCAGGAAAACTTGCATTGCTCGCTGTCAGCGAGCTGCTGGCTTGGATATATGTATTTATTATGCCATCCCAGGTAGGGTACCATAATTTTGTCATGAAATGTGAACATGCAAATATATATGGTAGATATATACATAGTATTGAAAGGCTTCGTGCTTCTTTGCAATTCTCTGTCTATACAATTATCTAGACTAATTGCAGCACTTACGAGCTTTACAATTCCTTTAACATAACAGTTCCATTAGGGTATTTGATTTGCGGCTTGTCGAAGAAAGTCTTTCTTTCTTTGGAGAATGGAAATAAATACCCGAGAGGCGTGTGCCACAACCGTGTGGCAAATTGGCTACTTAGCAATAATTAGATTAAATGTTTTTCAGCTGCAATCCACCTGCATTATGAATGGCCAGCGTTTAGGCCAGAAACTTTGCCGCCTAAGCGCAATTGCTGGCTATTGGCCCCAGCTGTTTGAAGTTTTCATTAGTGTTGACCCAGGCCAGAAAGCTGCAGAGTCTGCTGCTGGCCAAATGCCAAGGCGCAGCAGGCCACAAAAAAAATAGAGAAGAGAAGCGATAAAGACAGCTGGCAACAACGGCTGTGAGCCAGGCAAAAAGCCCACACACACACACACACACACAGACAGAGGCATTCAAAGGCTCAGGCCTTGTTTACACACACAGTCGACGGAACCGCCGAATGGCTTAAAATTTGTGCAGCCACAGGCAAACAGACAGACAGACAGACGGACAGACAGAGGGATTCGGGTGTGGGTTGCCACAGCAAGCAGAGTGTAAGAAAATGGGGGAGAGAGGAGGATGGGAATGGCATGAAAATGCATTTTCATTTTTCTTGATTTCGCGCATAAAATGCGCATAAGCCTATGCCCATAAACATAAACATTTGGAGCAATGAACTTTGCGCATGGCATACTTTCGGTCGTGCCACAATGCAGCTTGTTATGCCCTGTGCAATTCATGTTAACCGGGTATATAATACTTATACTTTATGTAGGTCAACGGGATCAGCCGCATGCAGCGACTTAAGCTGGGCAAAAATACTTGGGATGGATAATGAAAGTTTATGGCTGAAAGTTGTTTGAACTTTGTTCGGGAATATATCTCTTAAATGTCTGGAAATATGTAGCCTAGAAAGCGAGCGAGGCGCTTCGTTTGGAAGACTGCAGCATGCTTAACTTAGTTGTCGCAGCGTTGAACTGGCAAGCGTGTAGTCGCCGGTTCAAATTCAAGTTTCTTGCAGTGACATATGGTTATTTGTTGTAGAGGGTATCTGTATCAGTTGTCGCAGCGTTGAACTGGCAAGCGTGTAGTCGCCAGTTCAAATTCAAATATCTTACAGTGACATATGGTTATTTGTTGTAGAGAGTATCTGTGTCAGTTGTCGCAGCGTTGAACTGGCAAGCGTGTAGTCGCCAGTTCAAATTCAAATATCTTACAGTGACATATGGTTATTTGTTGTAAAGGGTATCTGTCTCAGTTGTCGCAGCGTCGAACCAGCAAACAGCTAGTCGCCGGTTCAAATTCAAGTTTCTTACAGTGACATATGGTTATTTGTTGTAGAAAGTATCTGTCTCAGTTGTCGCAGCGTCGAACCAGCAAGCAGCTAGTCGCCGGTTCAAATTCAAATTTCTGACAGTGACATATGGTTATTTGTCTCAGTTGTCGCAGCGTTGAACCAGCAAACAGCTAGTCGCCGGTTCAAATTCAAATTTCTTACAGTGACATATGGTTATTTGTTGTAAAGGGTATCTGCTGGTCGGGCTCGCAATTTAAGCAGCGCTGCGTCTGCTGCTGCTGCTGCTGCTATTGTAAAAATTTATTGCGCCGCATATGTTGATGTATGTTTGCACACATGTACAACATATACGAGTATTTATTGCCTCGTTCTCGTTTTCGTTTCGCTCGTTTCGCCGCGCTAAGTGACATACAATTTAACAGTGTTTTTATGCGTTTTTATTTAGCCGTTTTTGCGCCGCTTTTAGCCGCGCGCAGATTTAAAGTAAACCGAGCCGCGCGCCCTGGCTATTAATCTTGCCAGACCAGCAGTAGAAACTTGAGACGCAAA